TTTAGAGGCTCCTTAATAAGTCCTTCTGTTGAATGCCATCAACCAACTCTCTCTTAACTTTGAGCCTACCAACTCACTACTTCATGACTACATCTTCTTGAGTATCTAGCTGTGAGTCTATCAAATTTAGGGGTATTGTTATAGCTGCGCACTTGTGTCTGCCAATCAGGAGAGGGATTGACAGCTTATTAAGTGGATCAAATTGGGACAACTGTTTGGACCCAAAATTTATTATAATACTTTAATCTACCTTTTGTATTACACCTTATATCAAATTTTACGTACACAAAAGTTTGGGACAGAAGAGGACCCAATTATTGAAAGAGAAAGATGGTATCTACAAACTTCACAGTGATGTATTGCCCTGGTTTATTATTGATGAACTCCTGTGTATGCGCAGAAATGATATTTCAGCTTGGATAACTACAGAACAAGATTTATTTATTGCCTTATATCTGGTGTGGAGATTTTACACCACCAAAAATAGCATCTATTCAATCCATATCTGCACAATCACCTACCCCCTAAATCAAACAAAAAAACCCCAAACCTGTCACACTCAATTTGTGCCAATTTCACACAATATCAGCAAGGACTATCATCCGACACATTGACAAACAGCATGGCAGACCTAACCAGGGCATTTCCAGAAGCTGGACCAAGTCAGACATGGCCAGCGGTGCCAGCCAGGCTGACACAAGAGATCCAAGAATAGATACAGCACATGATAGAAGCAGAAGTTGCTAGGAGGGTAACAAAAATGACCAAAAGAGAAAGAGAGGGGTGAATAATAGCCCACAGAGCAGCACAAAGAGCAAAGGAGGAAGTAGCAGAGTATTGAGGATTGTGGGAGCACCAACTTGCTATCAATTCCGAGAAAATCAAAAAAGGACAAGGAAAAGAGAAGAGAACTAGGAGTGCCCTGGATAATCCTCCTACGTTCAATGGAGATCAAACAGAGTATAGAAGCTTTATGGAGCATGTGTCATTACACTTCAAAGAAGATCTGGTTTACTTTCGAGATGAGAAACAAAAGGTAGCCTTTGTGTTATCATACATGAAAGAAGGGACAGCTGTAAGCTTTAGAAGCAAGTGGCTAGAAGAAAAAATGTCTATAACCTCATCAATGAAACGGGAACAATATCAAAGATAGGCTATTTTTGGAGAAAGGTTGTAAAAAACCTTCAAAAGCAACTACAAAGAAAAAAAAGCTTGAAAGTGGATCATACAACTCAAACAGAGAAGCAAAACAGCGAGAGATATTTTTTCAGAATTTGACAGCTTGAGGGGGAAAGCAGGGTACAAGAATAAAATAATCCTAACTACCTTGCTTAAGTAAAATATGGACTATATGCTAGTAGATAAATTTCATATTTCAGGGTTGCCGCCAAACAAATACAAAGAATGGAGGAAACTCCTGATAAAATTGGATATTGACCAGACCAGGGATTAAACCTGGAACCTTCTGGATACATGCCAGCTGCTCTACCAATTGAGCTATATGGCCAAGGTTATACAAATCTTAAACATGACATGCAACCACCGATGTCTTACACAGTATAGCTGCTACATGCTGGGCTGGCTTACAAATCAGAAGTATTATCCTATGGCGTATTGGTATGTCAGAGTATATTCTAATACTCCCTCCTGATCTGACATATCCATATATGGTAAGTGTATAAACATAGCCAAACATGTAAGAATGACTAAGCTCATACAATAGCACAACAACGTACTAGGGGTCATAACCTGTTAAAAACAAAGCTTAAAAGAAGTGTCTAGCCACTTGCTGAGAGCTATCAGGGACTGTACTGTCCGAAGTTTTGTAAACAAAGGTAAACAAAGCAGCCACAGAGGCAAAATAATAGAGAAAACAATCAATACTGAATGGTAGAGGAATAGATAGATTACTAGAACATAATCTGAGCATTGACTGGAAAGGCCAAAAAAATACTCTGAAGAAGTAGATTTCTTAGAAGGGGATCAGCTAATCTAAGTATATCTACTTAATTATGAAAAGACCAAAATTCCAGATCATCTTTACCAGATAAGAGCTACCAGCACAACAGCACAATAGCTTGCCAAGGCCACTGAAAAATATTGAAAGAAAGGAGATTTCAGTAAGATAGTTCTAAAACACCTTCACAATTACAAAGACATATTTAATAAAGAGAGTTTTGTTGCACTCCCAGAAAGACAAGAATGGGATTACACCATCAAATTAATCCCAGGGGAACATAAACTAGACTGCAAGGTATACACCCTAGCACTAAGCAAACAAGAGCAACTAGACACATTTATCAAAGAAAACTTAGAATTGGGCCAAATATGTCCGTCCAAGTCACCATTTGCCTCAGTGTTCTTCTTTGTCAAAAAAAAAGGTGGGAAACTCAGACCAATACAGGATTACTAAAAATCAAATAATATCACCATTAAAAACCAATATCCAATACCAATTAATAAATGAACTGGTAGATAAACTATATGGAGCCAAATACTTCACTAAGTTGAATATACAATGGGGATACAATAATATGTGAATCCTAGAAGGAGATGAGGAAAAAGCAGCTTTCAGAATAAATAGTGGACTGTATAAACTATTAGTGATGTTCTTTGGACTCACAAATTCACCAATGATGTTTCAAACAATGATGAACACACTATTTAAAGATTTGATTGATAATGGAAAGGTTGTAATATATTTTGATGATATCATGATCTTCACAAAAACACTCGAGGAACATTGGGCAATGACATGCCAAGTACTCAATATCTTAAGAAAGAATCACCTATATCTGAAACCGGAAAATTGTGATTCTGAAGAATCCTTGGTAGAATACCTTGATCTAATAATGTCACAAAATAAAATCCACATGGATCCAATCAAAGGGATTCTAGACTGGCTGAAATGCAAGTCAAAGAAGGAAACACAAAAATTTTTAGGCTTCGTCAATATACACAGACACTTCATTGAAGGGTTTGAACCACTAACCAAATTCACTGGAAAAGAAGAGTTTACATGGGGACTGGAACAGCCAAAAGCATTCATAGAACTCAAACATTGAGTTAGTTTCACCCCAGTACTTGCCTTACCAGCCAATAATGGAAAGTATAAGGTAGAAGCAGACAGTAGTGACTTTACCATGGGGGCGGTGTTGTCATAACAAGCATTGAATCCAACAGAATGCAACTACAAAATATACAATAAAAAACTCCTAGCCATTATGACAGCATTAGAAGAGTGGCATCATTATCTGATTGTTGCAAAAGAGAACTTTGAGATCTGGACAAACCACCAGAATCTTTTACATTTTAAGCGACCTCAGAAGCTAAATTTACCCCCCTCCTATCCCCAGTGATTCTTTAAACCCTCCAGTCCGCTGCACTTGTTGATTTATCAATCAGGTGCAAACATATGATTCTCACACACAAACAAAGAGAGAGGATAGCCAGAGAAGAAAAAGATAGTGTAGAGATGCACAAATGGATACAGAAAAAGATAAAAAATGTGAATGACTTAGTAAAAAAAGTGGAAGACAAGATAAAGAAAAGAGAAGACAGGTGGTGGAAAGACAATGAGGGATTTATATTCTTCACAGGAAGGATGTACATTCTAAAAGATGCAAAACTAAGAGAGAAGATCATCTATGATAATCATAACCCAATCACAGCCAGTCACCCAGAACAGTATAAAACTAAAAAGCTTATCACAAGCAGAAGATATGTCAAAGAATGTGAAATGTGCCAAAAAACCAAGCTAATCCATCAAAGAAAGGCAGCACCTCTTCACCCAAATGAAATTCCCACACAACTCTGGGAAATCATTACCATTGGCCTATACCAGAGTCACATATGATGTCCCATGATGATATCATTTACATACAGTAATATGTATTCACTATGTCACATAATGTAGACTAGATAAAAGCTTGTCATTTGATCTCTTCTAAAGCAACTCACTTTTCTCCCCTTTTTATTACACACTGGTCCAAAATCTGACATTGTCTGATCTTAGTGTTGTCCACTCCTCCATGGTCTCACAATATAGCTTGATTCAAGTGCTATGGCACTCTTCAAGTCCTTTCCTGCTACACAATGCCTAGATGATTTTCATGCCATGAACCACCCCGCCTGGTAGCAATTATAATCCTGCCATTAATACCAGACAGTCAACAGCAACGACACAACTTCCATACTAGTAGCTTTTTTCTTGCTTCTCTCTTGCATTCATGATTATTGTTGTCACCAGACTCACTACTCAGTATGGAAAAGACATCCCAAACATTTTATTCCAATTTTCCAAAGTTACAAAGTCTTGGATTAACACTCAAGAAAATAAATATCATTATTCTGAAAACTAGTGTCCGGTCAGTGGGATTATGTGCATTGATAAAGAAGAACCCTAATGTGCAAGTTTCTATTGTCTAATAGATTTCTCACCAAAATTGATCTGCTGATTATATCAAGGAATGCAATGCAGCAAACATCTTATAAATCACAACTGTTGTATGTGTTGATGAAAACCTATCGTGCACAGTATAAAATCACTCTAAAAATGTGTCTAATTCACTCAAGATGGCACACATGAGAATTACTAGAAGAATCACCAGCTGAACAGTTGAATTTGGCAAGATGGTAGAGCCAGAAAGCATCAGTTGAATCTGGCCATAAAAGAGTTGATTTTAACACATTTTTATAATTATATATTTGGTGATTTTCATTGTACACAGGTGATTTTTGCCAGATAATTGTGCATTTTTCATCTCAAGATGAGTTGATATACAGGGTGGATTTCACCACTTTGGGGTCACACAGTGAGAGTGTAGTGTCAGGTCTGTGGTTGTTGCTACAGGTAAGCTATTCACTAGATCCTTTCAGCCATATCTTCTATATTTATTTTACATCTCACAATTTTCTAGCCTGTACAGCAATTGTTGAGCCTGTGGAGGCCTAAGTGCATATCACTTACCCGTTGCATCTGATGTCCAACAATAGTATGGGTTGTCAGAGATTATGGGATTGAGGGGCCATAACTTATAGCTTCGACTGTAGTAAGAATTTGACAACATAATACTGTAACGATACTCATATCATAAATATACAACACGGAGCTAGATCAATCCAGAAGAAAATACAAAAACAATGCTATATAGACACCGCAGGGGCATTGGATATACTCGGCCGACATATACTACTAGAACTACTTGGTGTTTTTCTGGATTCTTCGGTTTTGATATCCCTGCTTGGATCTGAAGAGAGCAATGACCCGATAGGAATAGAAGTTCTAGAACGGGGCGACTGCTCAACAGAGTCGCTACAAGCAGAAGAATATGGGGAAGGAGGAAAGTCATGTGATGAGTTGCGCGATCCGCGATGCGAGGAACCAGGTGAACGGGAATGACGTTGACGTTTGGGAGGTGGTTGTGAAGAGCGGGGGGGTTCTCGGACAGCTGGTATTGAGCAGTGAGGATATGCGTCCGACGTAAATGAGCCGGATGATTGACAATGATGTTGTGCGTGATGCAATTGAATGACGGGCGAAGGAGGAAAAGATGATGATGGAGGATGGCATCTACTGTCTACGGTAGATATTTCGAGTAGTGACCGCTGCAAAGCTGCGATAGACGCGAGGCGCTATTGTAGAAATTGATCAACATGATGATACAAAGAACGAGCAGAGATTGGAACTAACCTGGTCCTCGGCACTCTTGGCATTAAGCATAGCAATGAGCATATCGCGATCACCATCCCCTCTGGACTTGTAAGCCCCGAGAATTTCTCGTAAACTGGGTGGAGGAGCCTGAAAAAGAGACGAGAAGAGGTGGTCGGTAATTAGATACGACGACGAAAGAATTACTGCAAACCTGTTCGAGAATATGCCATGTGGATTTGATAATTCTTCTGCGGTCTGGATCGCTGGAGTGAGGATGGAGAAGAGAGGACGAAAAGCCAAGTTCTGAGGAATGATAAGGAGGCTGGGACGCAACAGAGGCCATTGTAACGGTCAAAGGGCGAGAGAGTCCCTGAATAAGAGAGCCATGGTAGACTTTTTGTAGCAGAGCCAAGTCAAAGTTTCTATCTTTGTCTCCTGGTAATTATAGAATGCCAAGCCAAGGTGAGGCTCAACGTCCGAGAATCCGGTAAATTCTAAAATTAAACGCTTCTATCTCTGCTCCAGGGCAGCAAGCACAAGCGCAAGGAGGCTGTATGCAAATAGCGCTTAAGCATAGGGCAAATTGAAGTGGTGTCAAAGGCCTACTATTCTGTCTATGCATTGGACACTGCCATATCAGCTAGGATAGGTGTTACTGAGAATTTAAAAGAAGGCGTGGTTATAGACCTGCGTACCTGATAGCCGAAAGGCTTGGCATGAAGTTATCTATAGTCGGGGTAAAATCAGCCGCACAGGTTAGGAATGAAAACCTTGGGAAACACCAAGCAAGTAACGCCTTGTTACCAAGCGTGACAAGTGCAGGCTAGGTTGTACTAATGTTACATTGTTGTTTTACCCACTGTGCTTTCGTTCGGAGCAGAAATAAATTGTGCAAATATTTCTACCCCAATGCTTATATATATATTGATATCGATTATCACAAGTAATTAGGTCGACAAGGGAGTTATACTGTGATTCATCAAAGTAAAGTCGGGTTACGATTGTTAGGTCCATGGTAAACAATGCAACATGTCTTACTGTATAATCCTCAGGCTGTTGCTGCAGGTCATACCAAAGGTAGACTCTGATATCAAAGTCTGGCCTTTCTAGAGCTATGCGTTCCATGTCACAATGTTCGACCCGTCATCGGAACCGTGATCGCGTTTGCGATGAAACATAAGACGATCTTTTGAGGGAAAAAGCCTGTAACAGTCTATAGTATGACCACTCGTTAATTAAGCACAAATAAGGCAACAAGGAGACACACCTTCGAGTCTACATATGAAGATAGGCGTCCTAGACAAGATATAGCATTTAACTATTTTGACCCAGTAAGAATCCACTAACTCGTTGGGTGTAGTGACCCTCGCCAGGCCAACCTGCAGTTGCTGTAGAGTCGTAACCACTAGATACTAGAGTGTCAGCTGAGCTGGTATACACTCCTGAGCTCACACACCATCTTGACACGCTGATTGAGAGGGCAATACTGAGGAGAGTGTAGGACCGCCCATGGTAGACCGTGACGTAGGTAAATTTTGGCGGCATTACCACCGGCAACCACGGAAATCGTGTATTTGACCTTGTATTTACAAAGTAATCCTGTACGGTAAGAGTCTTGGATTGGATCCTCGAATGAAGACGTCCGACGATGAATCTGGCAGCCAAATGGGACGATCGCGTACACAGTTATCTACAAGACTGGAGTCTCTCTTTTCCTTAAGCGCTCAAAAAAACCCTATTAGCGACGACGACATGTCCATAGTTACTTCCACTGTAAGAGTCAAGTTGCCCAATACTGGTAGTCCACGTGCCATTCATGCAAGAGCAGGGTTGGCCGCCCCGTTCTGTTTTCCACTGTCCGTATCTTCTCCGTCCATGTCTGCCAATGCTGCCCATCCGCGCTCACCCAAACCCATCATCCGCTGGTCTGGTGACTGGTCTGTAAATGCAACTTCATGTCGCTCCAGACACGCATCCGAATCCTCAAACTCAGGAGGCCACTCTCCACGTTCTTCGCGTCCACCCTCGCCGAATCTCGCTGCTTTGAACGAGGCTTTAAATGACAATATTCTGCCTACACCACCAGCGGCAGCTCGTCTCCCATCTTCACTCTATGCTTCTCGCTCCCTTTTCCGTCCACCGCCTTGTCTCAACAATCTTACTCGTTCTACTCTCCCCATTGCGTCTCTTTCCCGCCATCCACATTCCGTAGATGCTTCATCGCCCTACCTTGCAAAGTCAGACAATCCATTAGCTCCGCCTCTCATTGACCCCACCCACTCCTCACCACCTGGTTCTTCGTTGGACACGCTTCGCTCAGTACAAGACCGTGGTCTACATACTTTTGCCACTCCTCACGTCAACGCTAGCAGACCGCTCAGCTGGTGGTTCTTCCCGTCAGATAGCAAAGATAATGTAGATACTCTGCTAAATGAAGAAGACAGTACTGATAGTACGCAAGGTGCTCAAGATAAAATCAGGAAGAAGTGTAAGTGGTGTTATGTTAAGCAATGTTAACGCCCTTCTAATGTTCGCTTTTTATATTCTTCCTAGACCGCGCGCCTAAGAACCCGGTGGTATTTTGCCATGGCCTTCTTGGTTTTGATTCTGTAACCATTGGACCTGCCATCGCCCCTCTTCAAGTAGCTCATTGGCGAGGGATAAGAGAAGTGCTAGAAGCCAACGACATAGAGGTCCTTATTACTCGGGTACCAGCAACCAGCAGTCCTGTAGATAGAGCAAAGGTCCTCGAAAAGAAGATATCAGAAGTATACCCTGGAAGAAAAGTTCATCTCATAGGTAAATTTAACAATGATTCTATCCATAAACTACACTAATACCGAATCAGGACACAGCATGGTACTTCGACTGACCTGCTATAAGCTATTATCGTTTTTGCTGACCTGATTTACAGGGTGGACTTGACTGTCGTTATCTTACCACTCATCTAACTCATCGCACATTCGAAGTGATTTCCATCACGACGATTGCCACTCCTCATCGTGGTTCATCATTTGCAGACCACTTCATCACCACCGTAGGAAAGGAACGCATGCCCTCTATCATATCCCTTCTCGACTTACTTCCAAATGGCGGTGGCGATGGCAAAGCATTTGAGTGTCTAACCTTGGAGAGCATGCGTCAATTTAACGAGCAGACGGAAAATGTAGATGGGGTCAGGTACTTCAGCTGGGGTGCAGTATATGAGCCTGGCATGATCGATACCTGGAAGTGAGTTCAGTCAAGTAATAAAGTACAAACGTTGAATTTTTCTGACGGTTCATACAGATGGCCGCACTCGGTTATACTTGAGAAGGAAGGACCAAATGATGGTCTAGTTTCTGTGGAGTCATCAAAATGGGTGCGTTTCCTTACGGTCTCCATATTTTATTTCCTCAAAATGCATATTGGCACAGGGAACCTACCTTGGTACTCTGTCCGGTGTGAATCATCTCGACCTTGTTGGGTGGATAAACACCGCCCGTTATAAGTGGGCAGAAATCCGCGGGAAAGAGATCAAGTTCAAGCCTGCGACATTCTATTTAGGCATTGCTGATTATCTCGCTTGGGAAGTGGAAGGACAGGGTAAAGAAGAGGGACATAGCGGCGGTCGTGGTGTAGGAGGGGGTGCAAGGGACAAAGTCGGAGAGGGTGTGGCAGTGGCAGGAGATGCTCGCGACGATTGAGAGAATGAGTCAGTAAGTAACGGAATACAGCCAAATGAGTTAGAGAAAAACAAAACTAAAGCCTCTCGGAATCGTGGAAAAACCGAGCCGGAAGTGGTGGACAGGACAATATGATGTTTACCGACGGTATGGCAACTCACCATCAGGAAACTGAGGAGAATTTGGGAAGGATTGATCTAGCACAATAAAGAAACGTAATAAAATTTGATAAAATATTTATCATTCCTAAGGGGCCAGTGCGGTAGGCATTTGTAACACCAACCTGTTGCATTACATTTATTTCTCAAGTTGGTACTCTGATGCCCGTGTGATCTTACAACCAAGAGGGGGTCAACGGGTGTTTTGTCTGGCCCTATGAATTTAGTATGAAAAGGAGACAACATACTGTTGGAATACATGACATTGAGTCTGTAATTGTTATGAATCTAGTAACAATAAAGCTCAGTCTGTTGGTTAAAGAGACTGTATTATCATGTTCTAAATACCTAGTAACAATAAAGCTAGTAGATGTAGAAATTGTATTATGTAAGCGAACTTTGGAGCTTCGCCCGAAGATTTACTCTGTGATTATAACCGGCCTTTTGTGGCCACCATTGTTTTTTCACATGATATTTATGTATATTTGTTATACTGTCGTTAACCGTCAGTTCGGATGGGGGGGCTATTCGGACATTTCTGAAAACATATGTTCCACTGTCATTTTTCCTCAACAACTCAATCCATAGCGGTTCTATATATTCTTACTACTTACTCCAACTTTCCTAGCACAAAATCCTGAATTATTGAGCAAGTTCCTTTCATGTGCGTGACTTTTGAGAAAGTAACGCTCTACTAAGGTACTGCAATCTCAGTTTCAAAAAGTTCAGGTGCACCACACTCAAAATCATGTTCAAACACTGATAGTGCCGAGCGGAGCTCTAACTCGGCTTGTGTGACCTCTGTGACGTCCGAATAGCCCCCCATCCGAGCTGACAGTTAACGACAGTATAAGAAGCCTTGTATTTACGTTGTTACGGCATTCATTTGCCAAAGGAATCCTTCTCCTGTGCCTGTTCCTGCGCCCTGAGGGACTGAATATCCAACAGTAGAATGATAATAAGTAAAGTATATAGGAATAATAAGGAATTTGTTTGATCTCACCTCAGTCTGTTGGTTAAAGACTGAGGTGTCAGAATCCAATGTGGCAGAATAGAAAGTGGACAGGAAAGTCCGAAGTATGAAATAGGAAGGATTTTCCCACCATTACAAAAATGTGAGTATATTTAGTGTGCATCGTATAGGCTGTAGCTCACTACAGATACATCCAGTATCTTTCCAACACCCTCCCTTGAGCTAAGCCAATCCCCATCATGTAGCAAAACTCATCAAATTTGATTTGCCCCAAGGGGTTTGTTAGAATATTGGCTGGCATATTATTTGTGGGACAAAACTTGAAGGTGAGGACAGATTCTTCAACTGTCTGACAGATGAAGTGGTATCAGATGTCAATATATTTTGAGTGAGCATGATATATGTTGTTGATGGTGAGTACAATTGCACTTTGATTGTCTGTAAAGATAACAGTGGGGTCAATTAGCATTGATCCTGTGATATTGCCCATCAAACCTCGAAGCCATATTGCTTCTTTACTCGCATGGTTAAATCCTATGTATTCAGCCTCAGTGCTTGATAACATGATCATAGGTTGCTTTCTAGCACTCCACCATATCATTTAAATAAAGTTTAAAGTCTGATGTCCAGCATGTGACCAGTCATATGTTGAGTCTGGACACTGGTCAGGTGATGCATCATGTGATGGGTCATGTGACTATAAAAAATCCACAAAGTAAAATAAAATAAAAGGGTCACGTGATCAGTCATGTGACTTGGAAAACAAAAAGTAAAAGTACAGTTAAAGTAAAGTGTCAAATTAGATGCTGGTGTGTCTATTGTAACAGTTAGTGCCAGTTTGCAGGCTTCCATATCAAATGCTTTTAGCATCAATTCAGCATAGGCTTGTTGTCTGAGGGTTAGCATGTATTGAGTATGGTTTTAACTGATTTAAAAACCCAATAAAAAGTGGATAGTCCTCGTTGTTCCTCTGTCAAGTAGCTTGGGGGTGCTCACATCAATACATTATTGTCTATTTGGAATTAAGGTAGGCACTGTATTTCCCAGTTCTTCAAGCATGCATAGGCAAGAATGGCTCTATGTGATATCAGTCTTGCCACAGCAGAGTATATTTCAAGTTAGTCAATGCCATATTCCCGTCCATTTCTATTAGGATTTTTCCAGCCACATCATGTTTGATCTTTGTTACATAGTGTAAATAAATAATGTTGGCACTCTTTGGTGGTGATACAAGATCCAGGTATGTAGACTCTCTAGTTGACTTATTTCATCTTGCATTGTTAATCTCCAGTTTTCACTACTAGTATCAGGTCCCTTTAAGGCCTGGTATAGCAGCAGACTATCATCATCAGGAAGGTATGCACTTAGTGCTATGCTATGTTTATCATCATCATCTTCCCTCCCTTCCGCCTCTATGAGATTAGCAAGTAGTGCTGTTTCTCTTCCTTTATGTAGGCATCTATAGCATCCTGGGGGTTTTTCAGCTGTAGTTTGCTTGGGTCTTGTCTCTGGTGGTGGTGTATTAGATGGAGTTTTGATGCTTTAAGTTTTGTTGTTGGAAGAGTGTTGGTTGTTTGTGGTGGAGACACTGTGTGTTGTCAAAGGGGGGTGGGTATCAGTTGGATATAGGTCAGTGTCAATTAGTGTCATATCCATGCCAGTCCTTCTTTACTCCTCTCCACCTTTTATCATCTACTCTCACCTGTTCACTCCGTTGAGTTAGGGACCAAGTGTAACAACCAAGAGTTTGTTACTCTGGCGCACAACTAGAACCAACTATAGAGATGATGATGAGGGAGTGGTTACCCTTTAGGCTTCAACAAGTTAGTTGTTAGGATACAACAGGAGGACTCGCTGAGGAGTCTCCTTGATCTATTGGGGTATATATACTACTACAGGTTTGTTTGTACAATATGTACTATACAGTTGATGAAGGCAGTGGCTGATGATGTCAGAGGGCGTAGCCCGTGTGACCAGCTCCACTGCATGAGAGACTTGTATCTAAAACAGAAAGAAAGGTAGCGCAGTGCGAGAAAGTGGAGTTTGAACAAAAGGGAAAGTGCCGCATGGCACGGAGTGTGAAAATCACAGTAAAAGGTTAAAGAGGAGAATGAAAATTAAAGGTCCAAAAATGTGTTATCATAACACCAAGGTCCACAGAAGGGCTTAGCGCACAAGCTAAGTCAACTCCCAACCTTGTACTCTGTTCCGCTCCCCACCCAATCTCTGTACTCCAAACACCAATCACTCTGAAGGTCACGGTTCTGACAATTAGTTGGGACTTTGATGAGGTGATGAATATAACTGTAAATGAAAAGACTCTAAAGGAATGTGTAAGTATGTGTTTAACTGTAATAATGATGTTACTATACCTCAGTCTTTCTGGTAAATAACTCAGGTGTTTAAGGTAGGATGAGTGCACTTTTTTGTATCCTAATTAGGAAACTTATGTAATGTATCAAAATGTCGGAATAGTTGAATGAAAACGAATGAAAGAATGTAAAATATATAGTAGTGTCAATGATATGCCAATACACCCCCTCAAACCAAACTCACTCCCATTATCTTAACAAAATATTCTAGCTTGGGTTGAGCCGGTGGTTTTGTAAGGCAATCTGCAGGCATTTCTTCAGTAGGACAGTAGAATATTCGAATAACTTTGCTTTCTACAGTTTGTTGAATGAAATGAAAGCAGATGTCGATATGTTTGGTCCTTGAGTGGTACACATTGTTCTTTGTTAATTCTATAGCACCACGGTTGTTGCTGTGCAGAGGGACTGGTGGTTGCAATGGATTATTGGTTATTTCGGCCCATATATTCTTGAGCCAAATTGCCTCTTTTGTTGCATGTGTTAGTACCATATATTCGGCTTCTGTTGTTGATAGAGTAACTATTGGTTGGGTTTTGCTATTCCAGGATACTGCACCACCATTTATTCGAAAAACATAGCCAGAAATATAGTGCCTATGGGCATGTGAGGCATAGTCAGCATCTGTGAAACCGATGAGTCCCTCTTGGTTCTGGCCAATTAGTAAGCAATGGTTTCTCATTGCCTTGAGATACCTGAACACTTGCTTGGCTGCTTTCCAGTGTGTGTGTCCTGGATTCTGGAGAAAACATGATAGAGACGAGATGGCGAAGGATATATCTGGTCTTGTTGCAAGGGAGAGATACATGAGGGAGCCTATGGCTTCCCTGTAAGGTATGTTTTTCATTTCCTCCAATTTGGCTGTTGTCAAGGGAGACTGTGTTGTGTCAAACAGAAGGCCTGGTTCAATGGGAGTAGAGATTGGTTTGGCTTCTTCTAGGCTGAATCTTTTTAGGACTGTATCAATATAGGCTTGTTGTCCAAGTGAGATGGTATGGTTTATGTGGTCTTGTTTGATTTCTATTCCTGGCAGCCAGCTGATTTTACCAAGGTCCGTTATCGCATACTCTTCTTTTATCTCGCTCTTAAAACTCTCTATTAGTTCCTTGGAACTTCCTGCGATTTCCATGTCATTGATAGACACAGAGACAATAATGCCTCCACTGTTGCTATATTTAATGAATAATGCATCGTTGTATTCGGATTGTTCAAAGCCAAGTCTTTTGAAAGTTGTGGTAAGCTTTTCATACCATTGCTTCCCAGACTGCTTTAATCCATATAGACCTTTCTTTAACTTGCAGACCAAGCCTCTTTGGTTCGCTTTCAGATATCCTGTCGCTGGCTGCATATATATATCCTCAGTCACTTCTGCGTTGAGGTAGGCTGACTTGATGTCAATCTGATGGATTTCCCAGTTGAGAGTGGCTGCATGAGCGAGTATGAGACAATTTGTTGTCAATTGTGAGACGGCCGAGTATGTTTCAGTGTAGTCTGTCCCATATATTTGGGTGCTACCATTTG